TGTGTGTGTCAGAGAGACTCAGATCCAGGGATCATTAGGGATTCCAGTCACACTGAAACCTATTGCACTCATCCACAGCATGTCAGATAATCTCCAATCACCCCCTTGTACACATTCATATCATCGTCACCAGATGCAGTGTGTTACATTCCTGCATTGCACAAGGCTGTAGTTTGCGTTGCCCATTAATCCTGCAGGTTAAAACAAGGCAAACCAGCATCATCAGCATCACTGCATGTGGTAAATTAACCACACACGGTGTTACCACCAGTGAGCTCTGATGGACGTGCTGCATTTAGGATAGAAGTGGTTGTCCTCGCTGGCACGTTAGTATGCAGGGAGATTGCTGGTGCTGATGTTAGGCTCTGTTGCTATGGAGAGGAACACGCAGCACACAGCTCAGCATCTGTACTGGAGCTTCAGTGTGTCTGTTTGTGTGGGATAAGGTGATGCAGAAAGGGAGGGATGCCTTCAGTTCAGTTTTGATTGGCTTCACTCTCTAAAATGCAGTATCCCATTGGCTGGTGGTTGCACACTGCTTCGGTTATGGATGGCCTGCAGTAACCTGGCAGTTTGTTGACCCCATTATTTTTCGATATGCTTGTGAGCAAGCGTGTGGCTGTATGCATGTGCGTTTGCCCTTATATTTCATCCCCGTGTCACTGTCATCCATTGTTTATCAGCTCTATTCGTTGTGATGAATGTAACATTTGTGCTCTCGCCTACCCCTTTGCAGTAGTATATCCGGCCCCATGGTAGGCTCCAACTGACTTACTGCTTTACTAGCCTTATTTAGGACTGTCTCATCAACTATATTTCCCAAGCAGGGGGTAAGAAAGGCCCAGTCTGACTGGATCTTTACTCAGTCATTGTTGTATTTAGCTAAAAGTATGACTTTGGTGCTCAGAGCGTTTCTGCCTTCCAGTCAAGGCACAGTTTGTACACAATAGTTAAGTCTACACACAGTGGAGTGCCTGCATACTAACTGCAGTGGTAAAGAGACTCTGCTATTCTCTATGCAATGAATTCTGCTTTTCACATTTACAAACTACTCCTGCTTCTGAGCCTTTTGATGTATACCTATGTATAATAAGCTATATATTTTCAGCCTCTTTCTTGATGGTATAATGTTAAATGCCCAGAACAGTTCCCCATCTCACTTCGAGCTGTGCAGTGTATGTTATTGTGGCAGATTTAGCTGTGAGTTTTAGCGTGTATGTGTGCATTACAGCCATTTCATCAGAGAATTTGAACATTTAAAA